CCCCCCCAGGGCCTCCATGCCTGACCTGCAGCCCCTGCCCCACCAGCCCTGCCAGGGCCCCCACTGCCAACCCACAGCCCCCCACTAGGCCTGACCTGCTGCTTCAGCTGGGTGACCTCCACCGAGGGCTCATCCCACAGCTCTGGGGGGACGCCCAGGTCCACCTTCACCCCCTTGTGCACCAGGTTGCGCAGGGTGCTCATGGTCTGGCTCTGGCCCTGGGAAGGTCTGAGGCGCCAGGGAGAGAGCCCAGGCCCCGCTGCCCTCGTGGAGCAGGGGGAAACCGGCTGACCTTAGCGTAGCGCAGGCTCCCAGGGCACTCGGTGTGGATGCTGCATTGCAGCAGCCACTCACCAGTGCCTCGGCCAGATGCGTCTCCCTGGGGCAGGAGAAGGGAAAAGGGGGAAGGAGCTGGGGAGAGACAGACCTAGAAGGGGGGGGGAACCCCACTGGAACTTTTCAGTATCCTGCCCCTCCCCCCACCAAGGCCCCTGTCCCTGAGCCAGGAGGGAACCCAGGTGCCCGCGCTCCCATTGCTCTCACCCCTGAGGAGCCCTGGCGTCCGGGTGGCACTCACGAGACGCTGTAGCGGACGCCGACCCGAGTCCAGCACCTGCCCCAGCTCCAGCACCTCTGCAGAGCGGGCGCTGCTGGCCAGCACCGCCTCCAGCTCCAGGCTCAGATACTTGCGGACTGCGAAAGGCAGCGGTCAGAACCCTCACGAGCGCCCCTGCCCGGCCGGCATCCACCCCGCAGGGCCTGCCCTCCAGCTCTGCCCCCTCTGCCCAGGCCATAGAGGGCGTATGGACCATCTGTAATGCCCTGTGGGGCCTCTCCTCCTGCCCAGGTTTGTATAGCCCCATATGGACTGCCTTTAGCACCCCATGGGGCCTCCCCTCCAGTCCAGGTCCATACTTTCGTATCAGACCCAGTGGTCTGTGACACTGCCCAGCCCCGCCTACCAGGCCCTATAGACCTGTATGGACCACAGCAGCTCCCCTCCCTGTGCATGCAGTGGGGGCCCCTGCTCTGCTGCCACAGCCTGGCATATGTCCCCCGCCCCTTATAGCCACTGCCTGGTCCCTATAGCTGCATATGGCACCTTTAAGTGCCCCGCCTCTTTACCTTCGCACGGGGTGGGCGCCCCCGCCCATGCCCCGAGCAACAGCGCCAGCAGAGGGAGCCCCAGCGCCCCCATGGCAACTCTGGAAAATGCGGCCCCTTTAAGAGGGAGCTGGCATCGAGCATGCGCACTGTCAGCCACAGAGGGGTGAAGCAGAGTGCATGCGGAGAACTGCGGGCAAGGAACGTAGGGTAGGGAGTGACAAATGGAGCACTACGCATGAGCAGCGATAGTGATGAGGCTTCAACTGATAGGATGGCGCATGCGTAGTGAGGTTTTGGTTCCTACAGTTGCTTTGTGCGTGCGCAGTGTGGCTGCAAGTCCTGGCAGGGTGGTAGTGAGCGGCGAGTCGCTGGGGGCGGGGCTAGGACGGCGGCGGGGCGCGAGGCGCCCGCGTGAGCTTGGGGGCGCTCTGTGTG